GTGAATGCTACCATGTACAAACAATTGGTCGGAAGTCTTATGTATCTAACTGCAACAAGACCTGACTTGATGTATGTGGTGTCTCTCATTAGCAGATTCATGGCAAGTCCAACTGAGTTACATTTGCAAGCTGCGAAAAGGGTGTTAAGATACTGGAAAGGTATTGTAGATTTGGGAGTATTTTATCAAAAAGAGGGTAATGGAGAGTTGATGGCATTTACAGACAGTGATTATGCAGGAGATGTAGATGACAGGAAAAGCACTTCTGGTTATGTGTTTCTACTCAGTGAAGGAGCTGTATCCTAGTCCTCTAAAAAACAGCCCGTAGTTACTTTGTCCACTACTGAAGCAGAATTTGTGGCAGCTGCCTCTCGTGCTTGTCAAGGGGTGTGGATGAGGAGAGTATTGGAGAAGCTTGGTCATCTTCAAGGCAAGTATACCACTGTGTTATGTGACACAATTCTACCATTAAGCTATCCAAGAACCTAGTCATGCATAGACGTAGCAAACACATTGATGCAAGGTTTCATTTCTTGCGTGATTTGACCAGAGATAGAGTTGTTGAGCTGAAGCATTGTGTCACACAAGAACAAGTTGCAGACATTGTGACAAAACCACTTAAGCTGGATGTGTTCTTGAAGCTGCATGAGTTAATGGGTGTGTGTGTGGTACCACGAGTAAACTGAAAGCATTACTGCAATCAGTTTAAGAGAGGAATTGTTGGGGTTGAAGTAGTCAAAAGTTTATTCAGGACCTGTAAAACGTGGGTTGTTTGTTTCCAATCTCTTTGTAAGGCTTATATAAGCCAACAACTTGTTTTGATTAAAACAGAAAATTCAGATATTTTTCTGAAATTGCTTTGTGCTTAGAGTTTACAACAAGGTAATACTGTGCAAGAGAAAAAGAAGGTTAAAAAATGGAAATTTGAATTAAAAATTTTCAGTGCAATTTCAGTGTGAATACTTCTCATGGCGTCAGCTAGATTATCAATCAGATTTTGAGGTCAGAGAATTGTGTTGGTTTTGGGCAGTGGGTTTGCGTGGGCCGGGGGGGGGGGTGCGGTTAGAGATGTCAAATGACTAGCCCGAGTCAAGTAGGGGGCTCAATCCCACGAGCAGAGTGGCTCAGCTCGTCGAGCCCACGAGCGACTCGTGGACGATGTGCCCACAAGTGACTCGTGGACCATGTGGCCACAAGCCATTTTTGACAAGCCCACGTTTCACGGGTTGCCTTTCTTCTTGGCACAGAAAGTGACACCGTGCGGCCGTAGTCTGCTCCGCTAGACTACCTTCCGCCTTTTCTCAATCGCGTCGGGACGAAAGAAAATTTGATTGCAATTTTGTAGAAAGCTTACAATTCAGAATTTGAATACATTGAAAGTAAATTGAACATTGATTGCTGAAAACTGAACATTACAATTGATGAAAGCAAAAAATTACAAATGCTGGTGCAGGGGGCGGACACCAGTGAGCTTGAAAGATTTTTGAATGACTAATACCCCCTATAATAGCATTTTGAACAAAAACCCAAGTGACGGGAGTAGACGTTTAAAAGACGAAGAATCATACTAATCTTTTACCAATATCAGAGCTATTTTACAATTAAAATAACTATTACAATGAAACGAAAATTACAACTCAAACTTAAAGTAATATTTACAATGTGTGGCCGAAGTTGGGCAAACTGCGGTTGCGATAGTATCAAGGGGCTAAGTAAAGCTGAGGTCCTTGACATTCTCCCCCATTTGTTTTGGCAACGTCCTCGGTGCCATCAATGCATGATACGCTTCAATTAATGATTTGAAGGCCTCGAGATCTTTTTCTCTTTCCCAAGTATTCTCCTCGCTGCTGCATCCCATCCATTTGACCAAGTACTCCTGATGATCTTTTCTAGAAGCCCGAGTGATTCGATGGTCAAGAATAGCTTCAGCAACCTTCTTTCCAGCTTTCTTCAGTTCAAATACAGGTCGCTTTGGCTCATTTCTAGATGCGTCCTCCTTATCCGAAAAGTATGGCTTCAACACACTAACATGAAGGACCTTATGGATTTTACACCATGAAGGGAGTTCAACTCTGTATGCAACTCTTCCAATCCTCTTCACAATGGGTAATGGTCCAATGTATTTTGGTGACAATCTTGAGTCCTTCCCTCTTGTTGGTTTGTAAACATTTCTGTCGGGAAGCTTAACCATTACCAGATCTCCAACATTGAATTCAATAAAACGACGCTTTAGATCTGCAGCCTTTTTATACCGTTTTTGAGAAAAGATAACTCCGAGCAATTTCAATATTCCGTTTCCACTCTTGAGAAAAGCTCTTTGCTTGAGGGGACTTGGTACTTCGTTCAATATCCACTGTATGAGGGAGTAGCGGTTGCTGGCCAGTAACAATCTCAAAAGGACTCTTATTGGTGGAAGAGCTCTTTTGGGCATTGAAGCAAATTTGGGCCGCATCCAAAAGTTTTACCCAGTTTTTCTGCGAAGTAGAGATAAAGTGCCGAA